GTTATTCATTTTTGTGTCACAAAGGGTAGTTACGAGGTTCTAATCGTACAATGAGTTAGAGTTAAATCCGCTTACTGCGTCTTGATTCTGATTATGACTACAATTTGCCCCCCAATTATCACCAAAAGCGGGAAGAGAAAAATCGTCAGCCGTTGTGGACCGTGACGTCACCGATAAATAAAGTTCCAACAGAATTTGGCGCTTATGTGGGCCGGCCTGGCAATTACATTCAAGCTCACACAGCACGTCGCTTGGGCGATTGGGGACACTGGACTACGCAAAAAACAAACGCAAATACGAACTACTGCAACAATCAGACGAGCCAACAACGGAACCTAAAAAGTCAAAGGCAAACAGGATGTTGAACACTCAGAAAAGGCTCGGAGTAGATGGGGAGACAGCGAGAACTCCTTTCATGACGTCACACACTCTCCCCATTTTCTCCTCGCATTAACCGTACCTGGAGTGGTTGACCTGAAAAGAGGAGCTTCAACGAACACCATCTTGGCTCTGCAACGATTCGCCGCTCGTCAGATATTTTGATGACGGTGACTTTAAGGGCTGAAAGAAGCCAATTGAAATGTTTCTTTGTTTGTTGTTGTTTTTGTACAGAATTAGCTTTGACACAATCTTCTGGTAAGGTCCGGGACCGGTGACGTTTAGTTGGTCTCATGCTCACTCACTCACTCACTCTTTTACTAACAATGCGTCTGCACAGCGACAAGAAATTTCGGTGGTGAAGATTCATTGACACAGGTAGTGGATTTTGTCATTTAATTTACCTTACGTAGAGATATGACTGCAAATTCCTACCCGTGACGTCACGATCGAGATTTGCCCAAAGAGTTCCGATCCTGGTTATCTATCATCGGTTGTGAACGGTAAATTCGATGCTGCGTGTAAAGAGTATACAGTGTGGAAGCTTGCAGATGACCAATCAAGGCCTTTGAAATATGAGTGCCCGCGCGCTCGTGATCAGCCGCGCCGATCAAAGCAGGGTGAGAGTGGTCTTTCAGATGTCCCCCTCACAGCGCGAGCTTCCATACCTTCGAAAAAGACATTCAACCGTTCTTAACCTGTAAGTGAATTCGGAGAAAAGCGTCGTTTTCCGTCCTCTTGGTGCTTTCTCGGCGGGGGCGTCCGTATCAACACCGCGCCATATAATCACCGTGCCTCTTCAAACATCGAGGAAACTCGAGAGCCAAGTGGCGGCAACTGTGGGCTCTGATCTACACAGATGTCCGGCATTCTGGAAAGATACCGAACCTTTATCGGAACAGCTCTATGCTCCTTTATCGATTCGGTGACGACGTCCAAATATCCACGAAACATTGCGCGTGCACTTCGATCTTTTGTCGCTTCATGAATGGAGTTCACGCGGCCTGACCAGCCTTCCAGAACACACAAACCCGTATGTGCAGCACCCTTTTTAGAGGTGGAGAACGCCAAAAAGGTTATCCCATAATCAGTCAAAACAATGTTTGCTAGATCGTTAGAGAGCTGATGGAGAGAAAATAAATATTGGTGGTAAGGAGCTTGAATTGCCCTTTGTCCTCTCCAAGGAACTGTATATTGACACCGGGCTCAAAGTTAACCTACAAAACCAGTCTTTTTTTTTTTCCCCCAAAACATGGGTTTTTTTTTATTTTTGGGCAGTGCTCTCGGTATCGACGTCAATATGTTGCAAGTATAGAATACAAGAAGAATCGCCAGACTGTCACTTCCAATCAGGGTGGAGAACATAAATTAAGATTATTTACGTCGTGATGTAAATCAGAACAGCTTCACTATAATTATATAAATAAAACAATTCCAGCAAAAAAAAAAAAAAAAAAAACTCCCTAAATAAATTTGTGTACCGCTTACCTATCATTGAATGCT